ACTCTCGTCTTGGATTCCACCGGCTAACCATTATCCAACTTTACTTAAAAGAGATGGTATGTGAATATGAAAAATGAAATATCAGCTGTGTTTTTTTGTTTTATTAAACATAATTTAATGAATTTTCAAAAATCAATTTTTTAAAAGAAAAAAAAAGAAAAGAAAACTTGTGAACTTTTTAACTTCAAAAATAAAAAAAAAAGTTTTTTTTGTTTTTAACTCTGTTCACACCCACTGAGAAGGTTTCTATTTAGTTTCCAAATAGATTTGGTAAATACATTTAATTATTTTTTTTTTGTTTTTTTTCTACATCAGGGTTATATTAAACTTTTTTTTCTTTTCTTTTGAATTTTTACGGGAAGTTCAAATTTAATTCATTTGATTATTTTCAGTTAATATTAATATTGATCTGGTAGCAATGATCAATTGTATCTCTTTCTCCTGGTGATCGACTGGATCATGAAGACTTGACCATCTGGAGGGAAGCACGGGATACAGTGGACAGATAGGATGCAGTTGGATGATCTAGACTTCACAGATGATTTGGCCCTCCTATCGCAATCGAAACAACAAATGCAGGAGAACACGACCAGTGTAGCAGCAGTATCAGCAGCAGTAGGTCTCAATATACACAAAGGGAAAGGCAAGATTCTCCGATACAACACAGAATGCACCAATGCAGTTACAATTGACGGAGAAGCTTTGCACGATGCAAAAATCTTTACATATTTGGGCAGCATCATTGATGAACATGGTGGATCTGATGCATATGTGAACGCGCGAATCAGTAAAGCAAGAGCAGCATATTTACAACTGAACAACATCTGGAACTCAAAATAATTTTCAACCAACACCAGGGTCAGGATTTTCAATACAGAAATCAAGACAGTTCTACTGTATGAAGCAGGAACCTAGAGAACCACGAAAGCCATCATCCAGAAGATACAAGTGTTTATAAACAGTTGTCTTCGCAAAATACTTCGGATCCGTTGGCTATCAGGAACTATCATGAATAACCTACAGTGGGAGAGAACAAACCAGATTTCAGTGGAGGAAGAAATCAGGAAGAATTGTTGGAAGTGGATAGGACACACATTTAGGAAAGCACCCAACTGTGTCACAAGGCAAGCACTCACTTGGATTCCTCAAGGTCAAGAGAGAAGAAGAAGACCAAAGAACACATTACTTCGGGAAACGGAGACAGACAGACGTGAGAAGTATGAACAAGAATTGGATGGAATTAGAAAAGAAGGCCCAGGACAGAGTGTGTTGTAGAATGCTGGTCGGCGGCCTTTGCTCCATTAGGAGTAACGGGCGTAAGTAAGTAAGCAAGTAAGTAATAATATTCTTTCAACAAAAATATTCTCTCACTTACTTACTTACTTGCTTGCTTACTTATGCCTGTCACCCATCATAAAGGAGCATAGACCACTCAACAGTATTCTCCGTCCAACTCTATTCTGCACAATTGTTTTCAATATTTTTCAGTTACTGTTCATCCTATTCATGTCTACTTCTGATTCTCAACGTAGTGCATGTTATTTCATCTCCCTCTTTTCCGTTTCCTTTCTGGATTTAAAGTTAGCATTGCATCTTTTGTAGACAATTGTTTATAAATACTTGTACTCTCCTGATGATGATTATGGTACTTCTCCATGTTTCAACTCTGTACAGTAGAACTATATAGATTATCGTATTGAAGGTTGTGACTTTGATATTGGTTGATAGATTAGTTTGAGTTTCATGTGTTCTAGAACTGTAGGAACGCTGACCTTATTCGGTCAATCCCCACATTTACGTCGGCATCAAATCCTTCACGTTAATCGATGATACTATCCAGTTAGGTACGTGAAAGATTCCACATCTTCTAGAGCTTCTTCATCACGTGTGATTTGATCGATTCTCATTGTGTTGTATTTGAAGATCTTTCTTTTTCCCTTGTGTACCTTGAGGCCTAGTGATGCAGAGACTGCTGCTACACTGTTTATGTTAACCTGAATTTGTTGATGTGTATGGGATAGAAGTAACAATTCATCTGCAGGGTCTAGTTGGATCCAACCTATCCGTTGTCTTCTATGCATCCTCTCAGATGTACATGTCTTCATAATCCGGTAAATCACCAAAAGAACGAGAAAGGAAGAGTGTAGGCGGCCTTGTCTAACTTCGCTCCTCACTTAGAACGTGTCTGTCAGCTGCACCACTTTACACTATTGTCCATCGTATAAATTCCGCATGTCAGGTACACCATAGTGCCGAAGAAGTTTTTATAATGTTCTTCCATCCACACTGTCAAACGATATTTCATAGTCGAGGAAGTTTAATATAGTGACGAGTTCCATTCAATTGATTGTTCAACGATGATCTGTAGTGTTTCAATTCGGTCTGTGCACAACTTACTCACATACATAGGCCTGATACCCCATGTGGATATCACTATATTATCATTAATGTCTTAAAATATACCGGAGATTTGTTGTTCAGGTGAATGATTTTGGTGAAGTTTTGTTCTCTGAACTGGATGACTTAGTCGTGGAACCTACAGAATAAAACTCCACCATAATCACCAAGGTATGTTTATTAATGACAAACATTTTCAACTGAATATAAGGTATTCTTTTCATAAATATTTTACCTTAGTTTATCAACATTATCAAATTTTCAAATGTTTATAATGTTTTTGTGGCCTATTATCTGACTCCAGTTTCATCTCATGATCATTATCGTTATCCACCTATAAATATCTCTAATCTTCTTATTTAATCATCGATGTAAATCACGTAGGTGAATAATGGATTTACAATAAGTGAAATACAAGAATAAAGTTTTGATTACTTATATTTTGTACGATTATTGATCAGAACAGACAATCAGAGAGACAAAGAGAAGGAGGGGAAGAGGTTAGAGCAAAGTGAAACGAACCATAGATGACATGTTAGCCAACTCACTTTGATTAAGTGTTACTCAATATCGAGGTGAAGCGAAGTAAGACGAAACAAGGCGAGGCAAAGCGAATGATTAAAAGGGTCAAAATGTGATTTATTTAGAATAAATAGACTGGTCTGTCCAGAAACTATATTAATCAATGTGGGTTGGACATAGGGCAAACCATTATAACGTCAAGAAACAATCGAATTATTCCGTAACTGATCTATTCAATAACTGATTATAAATGTCATGACTTGTTTTACTACAAATATTATACCTGATATTTAATGGGATACCTATTGAGAATATGGAAAACGGTACCCACTACTATTTGCTTGAACAGAAATAAATAATGGCGAAATGAAATGAGTCTAACTGCTGAAATGATGAGTAAGAGTTTTTTTTAAAAAAACTATTCATAAAATTGTGAATGTTACCATGACAACTAAATGACATTGCTTCATGAAGTAAAACATTTGATAAGTAAAGAGAAAACAAGATGAAAAAGTAATACTGGAAATGGATAGGACATACATTACGCAAATCATCAAACTGCATCACGAGGCAAGCTCTAACTTGGAATCCTAAAGGGAAGCGGAAAAGAGGAAGGCCTAAGAACACATTACGTCGGATAATAGAAGCAGATATGAAAACGATGAATTACAACTGGACGGAGCTAGAAAGGATTGCCCAGGACAGGGTTGGATGGAGAATGCTGGTGAGCGGCCTATGCTCCTTCACGAGGAGTAACAGGCGTAAGTAAGTAAGTGAGTAAGTACTCAACACATGTCTGTAATTTCAATAGTTGAGATCATGAGTCAATTGAAGCTAGACCACGATGGAAAATCAGGAAGCACTGGATGGCTGTTTCTTCCTATTGCGATACCCCGCCTCACGGGATTCGAACTTAGGACATATCAGTCTGTAACTTATTTTTGTGTGACTATATATATCAATTAACGTTTGAATAAATGAAGTTGGCAGACAGGCCTTCTCCATTTAGCATCAGTTCGCTTCCTTCACTTTTTCCCTTTCATTGTTTGACCAGATCAATGAGTGTACAAAATAAACGTTTCCAAAATCCATTCTCATTATTCGACTTATTTAATTCCGTTATTCACTAACGCGATCTAAGTCGATAATTATATACGAGGATTGGGCATTATGTATATTTCAATAACAATTAATCATACTATTTAATTGGAGTCAGATATTACATTGCCACTAAAAATCAATCACCTTGTAAATAAGATAGTTACAACCACGTTTTATCAGAAAAATATCTAAAATCTCCACAAGACCCCTTCCGATAATAATCACCTGCTTACTAGTGACTGACTTCAAGAGACACTCCTGGAGTTCTAGTGAGAAGGCGTTATCAGTGGACTTCAATGAAGTCTGTTGTGAGATATCAGCTCGCTGAAGACAATGGTATACGGTGGCGCAACTTCGTGGATTGGTTGAAGTTAGACATTAACACCGTTGGATGCCGACTAGCTCAGTGGTCTAGTTGGTTAAGCACCTGGCGCGAGACTGATAGGTCCTGGGTTTCAATCTCACGGGGTGCGGGGTCATGGACGCCCACTGCTGAGGAGTCCCATACTAGAACGAAACCGCCGTCCAGTGCTTCCAGGTTTTCCAGGATGGTCTAGCTTCAATTGACTCATGATCTTAACCATTGAAATTACTACAATCTCCACAAAACACCAAAAAAATGAAAAGTCACATGTTGCATTTCTCATTAAATGATTACATATACTGTTACTATGTTTAGCAGCATTCTAGAATTTTCCGGAAGCCTGATTCCATCTAAAATGCGATAAATATCCTAGATTTTCTTTACATAAAAACGTTTTTTTCTCATATTTCGCTCATTTTCCCTTGTGTTCAAGTTGCTATGGAGATTCAACCAAGGGATTAGTAGAATAGCTTAGGAAACTGGGAAAACATCAAAGTATATTTTAAAAAAATGGGATAACTATTAAACTATTGAATTTCATATTTTTAAAAAATGGTTATCTGGTGAATAATTTAGAATTAATGTATATGAATAGGAATCATTCAATATCTCTTACTTGAATTATTCTTTGAGTTGAATAAAGTTGCACCGGTTGTTAACTCGGTTGGCGTTGTTGTTGTTGTTGGTGGTGGTGGTGGGGGTGATGATGATGAAGATGGTGATGATGATGATGGTGGTGGTGGTGGTGATATTTCTGTTATTGTAGAAGTAGTTACTAACGGTTGAGTTGATCTTGTTTTTATTTTTCTATCGATTATTGATAAATTATTAAAACATAATCCACATGTATTACATATAGGTGAATAGAATTTTCTATGATCATTTTGTTTTAATGATAAATAATTCAATTTTGATTGTATAACATTTGATGTAGATTTTAATATAGGACTAGATGTATAAATGATTTGATCAGAGTTTACTTTTAAAGAATTCTTTGTAGTGACCATAACAGCTGTAGTTGCAGTTGTAGTATTAGTAGTAATAACAGTAGTTGTGGTAGTAGTAGTAGTAGTAGTAGAAGTGGTGATGGTAACTGGAGGTTGTGGTGCACGTTGTTTTTTATAACTTCTTGGCACGGTACATTCACTTGGTAAAGTTTTACATGGATGTGATGTTTGTTTAGTTGGCAACGATTCATTATCAAATTTAACAAGTTTTGTCTCAGTGCCAATATCATGTGATGTTGATGTCAATGTTGTAGAAGATGATGTATGAGAAGTAGACTTTTGAGTGGATTGGATCATAGAATGATTCTTTAATGATTTATGTTTGAAATGTGATTTTATCTTTGGTGAATGAATACGCCATTGTTTATATGATCTATGATAAATAACATTATCAATATATCGTGCTAATCCATATGTAATTAATTGTGATGAATCTGTTTCAGCACAATTTAAACGAATTGCACTACGCATTATTCGTTGAACATGAAATCCTGAATGATTCTGAATGAGAAAATTCAAAATGTTTCATTAACTTAATAGATAGCAGTAAATAAATCGATGATAATAAACATTTTAAGTAAAGTTGGTTAGTGACTAGTAGTAGGATCTGAGACCAGAATTTCATTCTCTTTAGAACTTGTCAGTGGGATGTATTCGTAACACATGTCCAAGCCATCGAAGTTGCTGCTTCAAGATGACAACACTAGTTGAAATATCATCGCTGAGACAGAACGAATGATGTGAAACCTCTGCATTACTAATACGGTATTATCACCAAATGTCAACAATCCATTGCAGACAACGATCGTCAACTCGGAGAATCCAGGTTTCACAAGCATAGAACAGAACTGCTCTCACTGACGCCTTGTGGACCCGACCTTTTACAGCCTGACTAACATCATGAAGCCGCCAAAGGTGGTCCACATTGGCATAAGCCACTCTGGCTTCACTATATTTGAATTGATCACATCCCTCACGCCACCACCAGCACTTACACAGCTACCCAGATGCACAAAATTCTGAACTACTTCTATCTGCTTACTACCCAGTTTGAGTAGATTAGATTAGATCCAAATAACCAATGAAAACAATAGTAGAATCATCATACTTTAGTGATATCCCGATTAGTAGAAACTAATATTTCTTACGTTTTGTGATCTAATGTAAGTCGTTTCTTGATTTTCAATACAACAACCAAATTCTCCCCAATGCTCAGTTTATTTGAAACTAACAATTCCTACATTGGTATTGATATCAACCAATACAAACGACGATAATAAGCATTCTACATTATGTTTATGCGATTATTCTGTCTTTTGGTATCATTTCGTTTGAAGAAAACTGTTTCAGTTATTTTGTATTATTAAGTCAAGATGTTGGGCGGTTAGAATGTGTTAGAAAAACACTCTAGGTAAAACTTTCGTAATAGTTGGTACTATTTAGCAATCTACTGTACTGCAGTACTGATAGAGCTAGTGCTTCCTGTGTGAATTGGATTCTTGTCATCCAGTTTCACAGTCTTAAGTGTCATCACTGTGTTATCCTCCTGCTAGATTGAAACTACATCAATGAGTGTTGGAGATTTGAACTCTGTAAACATCAGAGGTTCTTTCAAAATTATAGATACACCTTTGATGACGATATTCAAGTACTGTGAAATCCTGGTTCATGATTTCCAACCGACTATCACAAATTGTCCAATATTAAAATGTAATGAATATGATATCGAATTGCTTAGTCTTTTAATTAAGAAACTCCGTACAACACCAAGAACTAAACAGATATAACATTGATTATTATGCAATGGTAAGTCACTATTATCCTATGTCTATCGTAATTTAGATCAGTCCCTAACGATTTATTCATGGTCATAAACAATTATTGGGATATATGATTATCCATCATAACACAAGTTTTATTTTTAACACTGAAAGCATTCGCTTTTGATCACTTACAGTTTTCATTTATACTTTAGTGTATGCTACTTATATCTGTAGACATAAGTAGTATGTAACACTACGAGAAGTGAAATACCTGGCAGCAGAAAGCTAAGAAGATCACATTGAAGAGAATCGTAAGGGAAAAAGAAAGAAATTGTAAACTAAAAGAATCATATAGAATGTGAAGGATAATTAATGAAACTCTGCAATTGACGTATTCAATGAACGGTTCTCATATTTTACCAAGACAGTTTGTAATTTTGAAACCAACACCATAAAGGTCTGGTATAGTTATGTTAAGTCCTATGGATCATATCTACATGTTTATGATATTTGCCATAATAACAAAACAAATCTGGTGATTGTGACATTGAATTAAAAGAGTTATCAAACTTTAAAATGATACGTCAATGAATATCTAAATTGGTCAGGCGACCTGACTGTACATCTGGGCTACTTGTTACTGTCATCTGGATCTTTCAACAAGTTGTCTGTTTTCTGTTTGTATGTTTCAAAACACATCATTATGGCTGTTAGTCTCACAAAATATTCAACTGCCTTTATGAAAAGTTGACGACATTTTGCTGTACAAGTTACAAAAGAGTTCAATCAGAGACATCGTGCTTGTTGGCAATATGCATTGGAAAGAATGAACGGTGAGACTATAATTTATGGACGAATCATTCACATACAATGATAACAGGTCTCGGATTATCTAAGTAGAGTTATGGCATTATAACTGATGTCAGTTCATGATGAAAACCCAAAACATTAATTCTTAAGCTTAACCATTAACTGTAAATCATAAATCTAATCGCCCACAATGTTTCATAACCTTCATTTGGTCCTATTTATTAGGTAGACACTATCAAGATCACTTCAGCGTCGCTCAAAGATGTCCCATAAATTATAGTCTCACCAAATGAACATTATTAAGATGTCTATACCTAAACTGTTAACATCTAATTGGCAATCACTAAACCATGATGAACATTTTGTAATTTTATCGTTAAGTACTACTATTGTGATGCATACGACTGATGTCAATAGATATATAAGTAGTATGTATCATTAATCGAAAGTGAAATGTCTAGAGGCAGAAGATGAAGGTCAAAGAGAAAGGAATGAGAACAGAAAAGGATTGATGTGGGAACGAAAGAACAATGAAGTCTGATATGATTGATTAACATTTTGCAAATGAATTATCTACTGTATGAATCCCAAATTTTACTAAGATATTCCGTAATATTAGAGTCAAATACATTCGATTGTCCCCACTTTTGTGTGTTCTCATTCACTACATTATAATCCTTTTAACTCCAACTCAGTAATGTCAATAGTCAATTAAGATTTCAAGGTTCATATTGACCAACTTGTGTTTAAAACTTGAATATACCTGAAGTAATCTCCAAATAAGACAAGGTAGAAAAAATCCAGCAGCCTGTAATATGAATACAAATGTAGCCCATTGATAATAACGTACAACTGTTGTACGATTATTAACAGGTGGAATAGCTGATTGAACATTAGTAAAATATGTATTTGTTACCCAACAATAATGTTCAGCATATTCTTCCCAACTACGTGAAAATTCTTGAGGTATCCAACATTGTAATGGGAGATGAGCTATTCATGCAAAAGATAAGAGAAGAAAATTAAATTATATTTAAATGTGCATATGTTAGTAATACATATATACCATATCATTTCATTCGACTCATGTCACAATGTCTCCAGGTTGTATGGTTATAACTAGGTACGGAATGGACGAAGTGCCTGTATGCGTGATCTGGTCTCACAAGGATATTGGGGTGACAGTGAGTCATGATCTTAAGATCACGGCCTTCTTCCGTGAGGTTTTAGCTAAGGGATTTAAAAGCACATGGGTTTTAAGATGAACATTCAACAACTTAGACACTACCATGTTCAATACAGTATACACAACCTTAGGGAGAACTAAGCTTGAAAACTGCGTTCAAGCTGCAAGCTTCTGTTTAAAAGGTGACTAGGATATCATGGAAAAAGTATAGATGGCATCTACTGGTGCAGTTCCAGAACTGTACAGTTCACCATCAACAGGACTACTTCCAACTACTATCTTATTGACATACTACTAATGTATCATAATATGAGTGATGTAAGCTTATTGAAATTATAAGTACCGTTTAATTTCTTTGAAGTTGTACCCTAATGAAGATTAATCTGTAATGAATACAATCAATAAATCGTTTCACTTGATTGAATAATTTTATTTGTTAACAATTAACAAATAACAATGAAGATCAAAGGATATTTGATCATAGAATTCATAATCAAACAGTGAAATAGTAATGATAAATATTCTAAGAAAAGATTGATAGTAGCTAGTAATGGGATCCACGACGCGCGTTTCGTCCTATTTAGTGTTCATCAACCAGGTGTACCTGCATCTCATAGTTAATGTTCGCTCCGAGACTCGAACCCAGTACCGTTCGCTTCAAACATAATCGCGTCATACACTCAACAGTCCTAAACATCAATGAGAAGATTCAAGTAAACATTACTAAGTGAATTTAAACTTCACCTCATTGCACAAGCAATTGGCTATCAGGATTCAGTAGCTAAATGGATAATGTGATGACATTTAAAGCGAACAGTACTGGGTCCGTGTTTCAGAGTGTATATTAACTCTAGGATACAGGTAAATCCAGCTGACGAGTCTGAAATAGGACGAAACGCGCGTCATGGATTCCACTGCTAGTCACTATCCATCTTTGCTTATAATGCTTGTAAATTAAGGCAATGTCGAGGCATTCACACAGTATATACATATATCAACAAGTGACTGATCCATTGTAGTCCTAAACAACAATAGGAAGATACAAATGAGGCAACATCAAATGAATTACTATTTTGGTTTTATTAGTCATTATTTCATTGTCAATTCAAGTGTATTTACACTAAAATAGTAATTGAATGAAAAAAAAGTTTGTTCCTTTTAGTTGGAAGTATTGACTTAATAGAACAAAAAAAAAAGAGGATCATAAAAGATATCTGATAATCATTTTGCTTTGAAGAACATTTTAAGTTATCTAAAATTGATTAAAAGTACAATAGTACAAATTATATTATCTTATTTCAATCATTTTTAACCAAAGGCTATATCAATCTTTACATTTTTTGATTCAGATCATGAAGCAATCGATGTCAGACCATTTTTGGAAACTTGGAAGCACTGGATGGCCAATTCGTCCTATTGTGGGACTCCTCAGCAGTGCGCGTCTACGATCCCGCTCGCGGGATTCGACTCAAGGGCCTTAGGTTTCGCGCGCGTGAACGCTTAACCTACTTTACAATTGTTCATCATAACACATGTTATTTACAATATGATTGTGAATTCATTGAATTAAATATAAAGATTATTCTGTTATGAACAATGTTATATTTATCTAGTTCTACTGTACGAAGATGAAACTTGATAAACTACTATAACCATCATCAAGAAGGTACAAGTATTTATAAATAGTTGTCTACGAAGTATATTGTACATCGATTTACCGGATATCATGAACAAAAGTCTATTGTGGGAGAGAATAAATCAACTTCCATCTGAAGAGGAAATTAGGAACAAAAGATGGAAATGGATAGGACATATATTATTGAAGGGAAGCAGAAAAGAGGAAGGCCGAATAATACATTACGTCAGAAAATAGACGCCGATATGAAAAGAATGAATAACAACTTGAAAGATTTGGAAAGGATTGCCCAGAAGATAGTTGGGTGGAGAATGCTGGTGGGTGGCCTATGCTCCTTTATGATGTGTGACAGCCGTAAGTAAGTAAGCATCTAGTTCTTGGTTCTAATAGAATTCGACTGGATACTAAAGTGAATGAATCAAAATCGAATATACATTGATCGATGTTAGGCAGATAAAGAAAGTTGATGAGAAATATAAAGATCTAGATTTTGAACCCTGTAACACTCGTCAGCATAGTATATATGAAGTTTTGAACAAAATGAACTCTTCATAGAATTCAAGTTTGCACTAGCCAGGTCAGCCATTATATGATTAGCTCAGTGATTATGTCTTATAATCTGGAGTTAGATGATGATTGTTTGAATTCTAGATGAAGTACCAGTTTTCTAAAACTCAGTCAGATACATCAACGTAACGATTCGAAACAATCAATATATATGAATTAAAAATTAAAATTCACTTCATTGTACAAACCGATGGCTATCTGAACTCAATAACTAAGTGGATTATGCGATGACATATGAAGGGAAAGATACTGGGTTTGAGTTTTCACTCCTAGCTAACACCCATCCTTTTTTAAAAATTCAAAGCAAGGACAACATTCCTACAACTGAGGAACATATGGAACTCATAAGAACTGTCAACCAATATTACAGTCAGAATCTTCAATATGAACGTCAAGACAGTTCTACTGTATAGAGCTGAATCTAGAAGAACTACCACAACCGTCATCAAAAAAGTACACGTATTTATAAACAATTGTCTGCGCAAGATACCCAATGTCCGTTGGTTTGATACCATCAGGAACGGCCTTCGGTGTGAGAGGACATTCCAACTTCCAGCTGAGGAGGAAATTAGTAAAATATATTGGGAATGGGTAGGACACACACTGAGAAAATCATCAAGCTGCATCACGATGCAATCCCCAACTTGGAATCATCGACGGAAAAGAAAATGTGGAAGGCCAAAGAGCAACTGGCTTCGGGAATTGGAAGCAGACATCAAAATGATGATTAACAACTGCAAAGGATTTCTCAGGATAGGGTTTGATGAAGAGTGCTGGCGGGTAACCTATGCTCCTCCATGAGGGGTAGAAGGAGTGAGTAAGTAAGTTGCATAGTTCGAAGTAAGAATTTATCATACACTTTCTAGAGAAATTGACAGATGAATATGTTGGCGATGATTTGAATGAAAAAAGTATAAATGTGTTGTTTTGGGATTCGAGCTATTAGTCTAGATAACACTTATCAAATATTTTAATATTTACACCTGAATGGTAATTAGATTCTAATATTCTTTAAACTATTGTATTTTTATTTTGGTGATTAATGTAGTCCTGTTTGATTCAAAAATGTGTTTCCCTTCACAGACTGATGACATATTGTGTACCGTTCAGAACTTGTGCATACTGAATAGTTGTTTAATCATATCATTATATGAGGTCTATAAAGATTGTCGTATTTAGGTTTGCTTCGTATATGGATCATAAAAGGAACATAGAAAATCAGCAAACATTTTACAGCTACTTAGTATGGGACTTGTCAGCAGTGTGTAAATGTAACTGCTAGAGTACTAGTGAGAAGCCATGAGGCAGACAACTATCAATGGCATTGAATGATGATTGTGAAATGTCTCGTATCGGTTGAAATCAGTACTGTAAACCAATGGATACAGATTCTAACTGTTCAGTGTAGAAGAGTAATACACCAAGACAAAACAACTGTATAGGGCTCCCCAATGTTTATCCAGTATATAAGTAACTACAATTTGTAATATAAACTATCTACCTTTTGATTGAAAATTCATAAAGGTAACCATTCATGACCTCTTATGATATCGAGTATAGTGAGTATTTTATAAATAAAATTACAAAATTAGGTCCTTTCCCAAGTGAGTTCTAGGAATCTAACGTCCCCAACACAAAAACATTTAAATATAGAAATAAAAAGAATTCATTATAACAGTAGGATCCATATAACAATTGTTATGATCAAATATTAACATTAAGTCCATATTCAAATTTAATCAGTCTACTTTATATTGTTTATTTGAATCAGTAACTAAGTGAATAATTGAGATGGTGTTTTAAGCGAACGGTACTGAGTTCGAATCCTGTAGTGAACACTAACATTGTGATGTAGATATGTACTGTCGGTCATTATGTTAAGCCCATGTAGTTAACTTTAGCTTCTGGATAAATCAATTTGTCCATTCTTCTTGAGTCACATTTTGATCTTGTCAACTCTAATTGATTTTATATGAGCATATATGTGTGTGTACACTTCTTATCTTATTCATCTCATGTCTGTAACTTATTTTTCTTTCGGCTATAAGTATTGATTAACACTTGATTTAATAGTTAGCTCACTCTCCTTCTTCGCTGGGCGTCACTTTGTTCCTTTGATTGTGTGTACAAAATATATCCATTCAAAAAATTCATTCTCTCATTTGACTTATTTAATTCCGTTATTCACTAACGTGGATTAAGTCGATAGTTGTATCCAAAGCTAGTCAATATATGCATTTCAATAACAATCAATCATACGATATAACTAGAGTCATATATAAAGTGATGATCCCATCGACAATATTATTCCATCTTATTGATGTCAAAACAAATGTTCTCATATGACGAGTCCTAAAATAGGGCGAAACACCCATCTTAAATCTCAACACGAATCACTATTCCTTTGTGCTTATCATCTATAAATATACTTCAAAGTACATTTATTTTTCTAATTTATAAAAATGTCAAATTTTCAATTATGTCTGGGTTATTATTATTTTCTCCTCCTCATATCAATGGTAAAACAAAAAAATGAAAAAGAATAAAAACAAACAAACAAGAATAGAATAGAATGAGGGGGGAGGCGGGAGAAAAAAACAATAA